GGCCCAGCACCTGCACGCCCGCCGCCCCGCAGCCCCGGATCGGCCGCGGCACTTTCGCGGCTCAAGGTGACTGACTCACCTCGCAGCTAGAGCCCGTGGTCGCAGGCTGCGATCCCGCGCCCACGTGTCCCACTCTCCCTCCGTGCTCATTGGCCACCATTCTTCCGCGTTCCCATTGGCTGGTGTCCTCGACTCGTCCCTTCTCATTGGTCTTCCGCTGCTTCTTCCTCTCTCTCCACAGGAGCTTCGTGGCAGTTCCCGCCTCCATGCGGGTAAAGGCGGGGTTTTCCTTCGAGATCTAGGTTACGATTGGTCCGAGCTCCGAAATGCTCGACCATAGAGTCGGCGGGACTCCGAGGTTCCATAACCTCGCGTACAAAATGGCGACCGAGGTGGAAGCTGAAGAAAAAGGCGTGAAGGAGATGACTGAACGCCTGATGCTGGAGGACACATGACCTTGGCCCCGAGCTTTCATTCGGGCGCTCCGACCCGGGGCGCGTTGCATTTTGGGATTTGTAGTCGGGTCGGAGGCCCCGAGGACCACAGAGATCCCGCGAGACGTTACTCTGAGGCCCGGCGAGCCCACGCCTTTGCAGCAATTCTCATCCAGTGGTTCGAGGGAGTTCGGCTTCCGCCATATGGAATGGAGGTGGGCAGCGAGGTTCCCAAGTGAGGAACCCGTTTTTGTGGGTCCCCGCCGGTGTTAAAGCTCTCACGGGCCAGTGAACGGATGGTTTGAAAATACATGTTGTAGCCGGGTGTGGTGGCGCACGCCTGTAATCCCTACAATCGGGAGGCTGAGGCAGGACCATCGCCGAGAGTTCGAGGCCAACCTGGACCCTGTCTCCAAAAATCCTAAATAAATAATTAATTAAAAATATATGTTTATATTGTAAATACATTATTCTAAGGAAAAAAAAACAGCATGAGCAACATGAACGTACAAAAAACGGCAATTCCCCAAAGAAGAAGTATGAACTGCAGGAAAGAATGACCGGCCCTATTAATCAAAGAAAACAGCGTCTAAACACGTCATCTCCGATTTATCGCTAACGTACAATTCTTGTTATTTTTGTTGTGGAGGGCTGGAGATTGAATCCAGGGCATGGGCATGTTAGGTAAACTGTCTAGGACCAAGGTACAGCCCTAGTGCCTTTTTATTTTGCGACGAGATTCCCTTAAATGGCCCAGGCTGGCCTTGAACTTCCGCGACTCTCCTGCCTCAGTCTCTGGAGTGGCTGGGATCACACACCACCATGCGTGGCTAGGAGACTCCTCGAAAGGAACTTGGCAGTAATACTTATTTTTCTTCGAAAGGCTCTGCTCGGGCTGTCCTCTTTGACCCACAATTCTTGAGCAATTGACAGCCTTTAAACCTGCGTCCTCTTTAACTTGCTAATATCACTCCTAGGAATTTATCCTGAAGAAATAAACAGAAATACAAGCATTCTGTTAAAAGCATAGATGGCAGAGTTTATTGACAATGAGGGAGCCGGGATATAGTTCAGTGGCATAAGCGCTCGCCTGGCAAACCTGAGGTCGTTTGATTCCCGGTACCAAAAAAAAAAAAAAAAGAAAATGAAAACAAGCAAATATGCCAAGGGTGGTAAATGGTTAAATACATTATGATACCTTCTTCACTTGAGGAAATAAGCACAAATAAAATCAAATTGGTTTTTTGTTTGTTTTTGTCTTTTTGAGACAGGGTCTCACTACCTGTGAGGCTGGCCTTGAGCTCACTTTGTAGTGCAGGCTGGTCTCGAACTTTCAACAATCCTCAGCTTGAGTACTGGGATTACAAGTTTGAGCCACCGTGCCCGGCATAAGTCACATTTTTGAAGAGTCTTCTGTTGAGAAAATTTTCATGATGAAAAATACAAAAATGCAAAACTACAGCATTTGGATGGGCA